ATTACCAAACTGTAATTTCCTGCAAAAGACAGACAAGCCTGTCTGGGAATAAGTGGAAAGCAATGCCAAGGTCATTTCTAATGAATTAAAGCTTCCCTAGTCTCCTTCCTGGTGCCTGTATGGGATGCTGAAAGGAGGGTAAACTGGAGCGTTAGCAGGGAAGGAGACCTATTTAAAACCTACTGGAACGTAAGGGGAAATGACATTTTCAAAACAAAGATCCCAGGCCCACAGCACAGATTACCAGCTAATTAAGGTGAGGGTCCTGCCATGGTGATATTTTAAAAAGGCAATCATGCAAATTATTAGAAGAAACAAAAATGTAAATTTAAGGCTTGAACCCACCTGATGTGCTCTACAGAGGTTTTTAAAAAAAAAAAAAAAAACTTACACATTTTAACAAAATATATATACCACAAAAATAAATCTTAAATGTATAAAAGATTCACCAAAATAGTAAGAAATTATCAGGCCAAAATGTAAGTGAAGAAACTCTCCTAGGACATTTATCAAATCTTCTGAACATTTTTTTAAATCCTCAACTGAGGATATTTTTCCCAAGCTTTTTTTTTTTTTTTTTTTTTTTAGAGAGAGAGTGAAAGGAAAAGTGGAAAGTAGGAGAGAGAAAAGAGGAGAGGAGAGGAGAGAGGAGAGAGAGACATGTGAGACACACACATCAATTGGTTGCCTTCTGCACACACTCCAAGGGAAACGAACCTGCAGCCCAGGTACATGCCCCTGACTAGGAATCGAACCTGTAGACCTTTTGATGCACAGGCTGACATTCTGATCGTTTAGAAACACTGGCCAGAGCCCTCTGGACTTTTAACAGCACTTTGCAAAGCTTGCTTTGGTTTGGGAGGTAAGACCAAACCCAGGGTGCCTATGGAGCGCCCTCCCTCCAGAGCTGTGCCTCAGTACATGGGCAAGAAAGACAGAAGGAAGCTGCCTCCTATGCCCACATACCCTAGAGACTGCTTTGGTACTGAGCCAAGTACCCATCAAAATTATTGGTAAACAAGTGTGTGATGATATCAAGAGTTGGAAGGAGTGAAAAGGGTACTGACAAACATGACTAAAGAAACTATATACTGAGGCCACTGCATTGGAAAGGCAGTTTAGATTTAATCAAAACTCTAGATCAGGGGTCCTCAAACTTTTTAAAGTGGGGGCCAGATCACGGTCCCTCAGAGAGCTGGAGGGCCGGACTATATGAACTACTAATTCCTACTGTAACACCTCGGTTGCGCTCACTGCCCAAAAAACCTGGCGGGCCGGATCAGACTCCTGCGGCCCGCGGGCCGTAGTTTGAAGACACCTGCTAGATCCTCAGACATAAGAATGTTTAGAGTAGCATTGTTCAAAATTGTCCCAAGATGGGTGAGTAAATTAGTTACACATACAATAGAATGAAAATTAAAACAGCAATGAAAATTGAACTAGCTCAGCCGGCGTGGCTCAGTGGTTGAGCATTGACCTATGAACCAGGAGGTCATGGTTCGATTCCTGGTCAGGGCACATGCAAGGGTGACAGGCTCAATCACAGTGTGGGGTGTGCAGGAGGCAGCTGATCAATGATTCTCTCTCATCATTAATGTTTCTTTTTTTTTTAAACAAATCTTTATTGTTCATATTACAATGTTCCTCTCCCCCCTCCATAGCTCTCCTCCACCTGACTCCCCACGCCACCCATGCCCTTACCCCCCCACCACTGTCTTCATCCATAAGTGTAAGATTTTTGTCCAATCTCTTCTCGCACCCCTCACACCTCCTTCCCTGAGAATTGTCAGTCCACTCCCTTGCTATGTCCCTGATTCTATTATATTCATTAGTTTATTCTGTTCATCAGATTTTTTATTCACTTGATTTTTAGATTCACTTGTTGATAGGTATGTATGTGTTGTCATTTTGTTGTTCATAATTTTTATCTTTACCCTTTCTTCTTCTTCCTCTTCTTAAAGAATACCCTTCAGCATTTCATATAATCCTGGTTTGGTGGTGATGAACTACTTTAGCTTTTTCTTGTCTGTGAATCTCTTTATCTGACCTTCAATTCTAAATGATAGCTTTGCTAGGTAGAGTAATCTTGGTTGTAGGTTCTTGCTTTTCATCACTTTGAATATTTCTTGCCACTCCCTTCTGGCCTGTGTAGTCTCTGTTGACAGCTATAAGGGTACTCCCTTGGAGGTAACTGTTTTTCTCTTGCTGCTTTCAAGATTCTCTCTTTTGTCTTTTGCCCTTGGCATTTTAATTATGATGTGTCTTGGTGAGGTCCTCTTAGGATTCCTCGTTTGGGGTTCTCTGCACTTCCTGGACTTTTAAGTCTATTTTTTTCACTAGGTAGGGAAAGTTTTCTGTCATTATTTCTTCTAATGGGTTTTCAGTATTTTGCGCTCTTTCTTTTTCTGGCACCCCAATAATTCAGATGTTGGTATGCTTAAAGTTGTCGCAGAGGATCCTTACACTATCTTCCTATTTTTGGATTGTTTTTTCTTTTTCTTTTTCTGGTTGTATGCTTTTTGTTTCCTCATATTTCAGATCTTTGGTTTGATTCTTGGTGTCCTTTGATCTACAATATTATTGAATTTCTGTATATTCTTTATTTCAGACAGTGTATGCTTAATTTCTGGCTGGTCCTTTTCTATTTTTTTTTTTTTTTTTTTTTTTTTTTTTTTTTTTGGCATTCTCATTAAGATCCTTAAAGGTCTCACTAAGTTCCTTGGAGGTTTCTAGAAGATTCTTGAGTAATCTTATAAATATGGTTTTGAACTCTACGTCATCCAGTAGTTTGCTTTCCTCCATTTCTTTCATTCATGACATGTTTCTTAGTCTCTGCATTTTGCTGCTTCCCTGTGTTGATGGAGTGGTTTTCTGTGGTAGGTGACCTATAGGACCCAGTGGTTCAGCCTCCCCTGTCACCTGAGGTGGAAACTCTTGGTACACCCCTTTGTGGGCTATGTGTAAAGTCTTGGTTTAGTTAAACCTTGATTGCTGTTGATATACTGGGAGGAATGAGCCCCAGGCCAATTGGCTGTGAGGACCCCCGCTGTGTCTATAATGGAAGAACTGCTACACTGAAGACACCCTTATGGGACAGGACTTGTTTCAGTGGAGCTTTGGTGCTTGAATGTGTCACTTATGGATGCAAGGAGTTGAAATCTGGTGTCGTCTCACACTGACCACTAGGTACACTGGCTTCTGGATCTCCAATGGGGTGCATGTCAGCTACTGTCTGAGAACACCCAGCAGGAGCTACAGCATGATCTGCAAATTTCTCCTCTTAGCTTGGAGGTTTTGGAGCTGTCTGACGAGAGCTGCAGTTTTTTAGGTTAAGCCATGAGAGGGCAGGCCATTTATATGCAAAAGCCACTGTGCAAGGCTTAGGTGGGTTTGTAAATTGTGTGGGGTGGTGTCTCAGGGAATCACTAGGCTAGGGCATGGCAAACAGCAATGGCTGCCAGTCAGCTGTCTCTGTGTCTCCAAGTTTCCCCATCCCCTTGTCCTGCACCCCAGCACAGTAAACCTCTGTAAGAACGCCACCTCTGCAAGAACGCCACCTCTGCAAGAACGCCACCCTCACTTTCCAGCCCGACGGCAGAGAGTCCAACTTCTCCCCATAGGAGTTGGGTCCCCAGAGTCTCACCAGAAACTGGAGTTCAGAGTAATAGGGAGCTTGTGTCTCCCTTCTGGTTGAAAAAAACAGCGCACCCAACCTCCAGCCTCCAGCCCGATTCTCAAGATTCACCCGCCTCCCGTACCTCAGCTTTTCCGTGCTTGTGTATGTCTCAATGCGCTTTTCTCTTTCCGTCTAGTTGTAGAACTTCTACTCAGCAGCTTTCCTGTGGTTCCAGGTGACAGATGTTTTGTCTTTAGTTGTAGTTTTGATGTGGTTGTGAGAGGCAGCACGTACAGGTGTATACCTTATGCTGCCACTTTGGTTCTTTCATCATTGATGTTTCTATCTCTCTCCCCCTCCCCCTTCCTCTGAAATCAATAAAAATATATTTTAACAAAAATAAAGAAAATTAACAAACTACTACCTCATTCAAGAACATGGATGAATCTCACAAATATGATATTGAGCAAAAGAAGAAAGTAACAAATGAAAACATACAATATTAATTTCTTTCATATAAAATAAATCCAGCAAAACTACATCATATTAGTTAAGAGTATAGCTAGATTATTGAAATATAAACAAAAGCAAGAACAAGATTATTCAAAAGTCAAGGAAATGGTTACCTCCAGGAGAAAGAGAGAGAGAGAGAGAGAGAGAGAGAGAGAGAGAGAGAGAGAGAGAGAGAGGAGTTACTTTTGGGGAGAGGCCATGGGATTTGACATCTTATATTCGAGCTATAATAGTTAATAATTAAGTATGTATTCACTTTCCAATTTTTCCCTAAACTGAACAAATAATTATCTACTCTGTTCTGTATGTATGATATATTTTGCAATAAATATTAAAAAGGAAACTGAGACAAAATAAGTAAGATTAAGAGGACGGGCGGGTGGGATGAGAGCAGAGAAAGAGGAAGCAAAGAAGGCACAGAGCTCTCTAGCTTGAATTGTCATAGTAAACACAGAAACCTATCTTTGAGCACCAGGACAATGCTCCTTGCTTTGGCTGCTTCTAGCTCTACAGCTTTAAGTTCCCTTAAAGATTTCTGGGTCTTTCAAGTGGCAAAATAAAGCTTGAGAAAATCTAGACTGCCTCCTGCTTGGTGGTGTTTCAAGTATTTGAAAGGAACCAATACAGTCTCTGACAAAAGCCACCCTGCCTCTCAGCAGATAAAATGCATAAAAACAAAGATGACTGGACCACGAAAATACCCATCAGTGAAAGAGAGGGACCGAGCTGACAAATCCAAAGAATGCCCCATCCACTAGCCACCCCAAGTAAACTTCTTGTCCTAAAAGAGAGAAATTATTATAAAATCTCCAACTCACCTGCTCAGCAGGATTTTGGGGTACATTATTATTTGTGAAAATAGAAAATTGAAGTGCTTGCTTTGGCAGCACATATACTAAAATTTGAATGATACAGAGAAGACTAGCATGGCCCCTGTGCAACGATGACATGCTAATTCATGAAGTGTCCCACACATTAAATATATAATGTATACACACACACACACACACACACACACACACACACACTCATATATATATGAGAAGCACAATATGATCTAGGTTTGAAAAGCATGATTGGTGAAATTTTTAAATGGAGTCAGCAAACAAGAGATTTGCTATAAGAAAAAAGAAAAAAATAACAAGTAACAAAACAAATACAAGCTCAAGAAAAATTCTTAAACCTCAAAAGGAATGGCCCAAAAAGAGACAGGAGTGACAAGATAAAACATAAAAGACATGAAGGACAAATCCAGCTCATGAAATATGCATATAAAAAGCATTCTCGGCCCTGGCCTAAATTTTTCCCAGTGGTTAGAGCATAGACCTGAAGACCAAAGGGTCACGGGTTCGATTCCTGGTCAAGGGCACATGATTGAGTTGCAGGTTCCCCAACCCTGGTAGGAGTTCATAGGGGAAGTAACCAATCAATGTGTCTCTCTCACATTAATGTTCCCCTCTCTCTCTCCCCCCTCTTCCCTTCCTTCCTCCTCCCTTCCTTCCACTTTCTGAAAATCATTGGAAAAAGATATCCTTGGGTGAGGATTAGGAAAAAAAGCATTCTCCAAAGAGTTTGTATCACAAATGGATATTGAATTTTTATTAACACTTCTTTGGAATCCATGGATATTACTGCGTGACTTTTTCTTTTGATCTACTGATATAAAAGATTATAGAAATAGATGTTGTAAAACCGCATTCCTATTTGTTCACAGTATGTTATTCTTTAAATGTGCTGTGTGGTTCAAGAATCAATGAACTGAAAGAAAAACATGCCTTGAACTAAAGAACCACTTGAATTTTCAGTTTGAAATGTTTCATTTTACTCACAAGCAAATATAATAAAAAGGTAGATCCACATAAAACATGTGAATGAAAAAGTAAAATCAAACCAGCATTTAAATGAAAAGATGATTCACCAAGGAAAAATAATCTATTAGCCTCAGATTTCTGCTCAATAACAATAAGTGCCAGGAAAATAACTCAGCATTAGCTACAGATCTTGAAAAAGACACACACACCAACCCTTTCAATCTGGTCTCGCTAGCATTCATTAAAAAATCCACTAAAATAACATTCAAACCACATAAGAACTCAGAAAATCTACCAACCACATTTCCATCCTTAGAAGCTATTCCAGATTCTACTTTAGCTGACCACACATGAATTTAAATTAAAAGAAAAAACTTAATAAAAGGTAAGATGTTATAAAAACTGGCAGTAACTATTAAAAACAAAATATATACTACATAAATTTTAAATATCCTAGGTCATCATTAATTATTTTTGACAGAAGTGCTACAAAAACAACAAATTATAAAAATCCCAATGACTTCATTCCAAACTGCAGTAAGTGGTAGGCAGAAAACTAGAGAGTAGAAACATTCTGATTTTTCTCTTCTTGAAAAATGTGGGGGGAGAGGCTCAAAAATAATTTCAGTCTCAACATGGAAAATATTGCTCCTCCCTGACTTGTAAACAGTTAAGTGTAAATAATGTTATCAGCTCATATTTCACCTCCTTAGTTCTTTTTAATTCCCTTTTTCTCCCCCACAGGCTGACATTCCAGACCACAGGTTGCCAACCTTTCGGAACTCATGAGCCACCAATGGCGCGCGCAGACCACTGGTTGGTGACCACTGCTCCCAAGGATTCCTAGCTAGACCAGTATAGAATAAATGTGATGGTAATATCCCCATCTTAGTTCTTGCTTCTTCCGCTTTCTCTATTTTAGTATTAAGAATGCTGTCAGCTGGTATCTTGAAAAACATTTATCATGTTATGTTTTTGGTTTACTAAGAATCTGTATCAAAAATGAATACTGAATTTAAATTAATGCTTCATTGTAAATTATGGAGGCAGTTGCGACCTCTTTTTTCTTTCTATTGTAGAAAAACTATATTAATAGATTTTATAAAACTGCATTCTTATTTGTCATGGTGTATTATTCTTTAAATGTTGTGTGGCTCAATTTACCATTATTGAGAATCTGTTTTTATATACATTTACAGGTGAAAGGTGCTAACAATTTTCATATTTTTTGTCAGGTTTTGGTAGCAAAGTCACACTGGCTTATAAAATGAATTTAGATATTGTCTACCATTAAAAGGGTTCTCAAATTTAATTTGTTCCAAGAAGGCTGTTCAAGAAGTGATTTGTTCAAAAACCAAATCATTTTTTCCCATTAAAAGTAATGTAAATTGAATTAATCCATTCCAGACCCCCAAATGATTCCTTTTAAGCTTTCTTATATACAGTACATGCCTAATGTACTGTTTAATCTAGAAATAAGTCTTTTCTTAAATTTATCAAACCACCCCCTACGAGCCTTAAACGAATCACTTTCGGCACTCGTTCCAGGGGTGTCTTCCAGATCAGCATGTAGCATCCTTTCTTGTTCTCACATCGCTGCCTCTGAACTGGCTGTCACTGGCTCACTGCTTTTTGTTTATCCAAATCAACAACAGTTGGAAAATATTATTCTCAGCGAAATAAGCCAGTCAGAGAAAGACAAGTATCACATGATCTCACTCATATGTAGAATCTAATGAATAAAATAAACTAATGGACAAAATAGATCCAGAGACATAGAAGCATAGAACAAACTGTAGGATCTCAGCGGGAAGGTGAGGGTAGATGGGTGGATGAGAAGAGATCGACCAAATAATATGTATGCATATATGTGTAACCCATGGACACAGACAATAGGGTGGGGAAGGCTTGGGATAGGAGGCAGGTGCTGGGGGGGGAAACATATGTAATACTTTAAAAACAGAAGAGGGCAATGGGGAAATACAGGGGATATATGTGACACTTTCAACAATAAAGATTTTAAAACACATACATATATACTAGAGGCCCGGTGCACAAAACTCGTACACGGGCACAGGCACGCTCCCTAGGCCTGGCTGGCAATCGAAGTTAGAGCATCTGGCGTGGAAGGGCAGGTCCCAGCTGACCTCTGGGCCCTGGGCAGCACCTGTGCCCCTGAGCCCCCATGCAGCCCCCTGGGCCTGAGTCACGGTGCCTGAGTCCCCATGCAGAGAAGCAGTGAGTACAGCCAGACGCCGCGGGCTGGGGCACAGCACAGGCCTCTGGGCCCCTCAGCAGTGCTGCACAGAAGCCGAGTGGGCAGCACACTCAGCCAAGGCCCACTCTGTTCAGCACTGCCACCTGGTGATCAGCACACGTCATAGCGAGCATTTGAACTGTTCGAATGACTGCCTGAGAAGGCAATTTATATATTAGGCTTTTATTACATAGGAGGTATATATACTAAATTTAAAAAAACAAATCAACAACAATTTTTCTACCTCTTCAATTATTTGTGATCAGTTTCTTTCACACCCTTGGCAATATTAGCACTCTTGATGGCCTTTTTATGTTTTACAATTGTGCTAAATGCTTTGCCAGCAATAAAAGCATTCTCTCCTTTACTGCCTGAGAGATGCTTTTCGTCATGCTGAGGTATTAGCTTGAAAGGATTGTTAGTTTGAAGACCAAAATTTGGTTGCACAACCAAGGCATTTTTTCTGTGAACAACTTGGTCAAGAACTAAACTGTTTGAGATGGGAGAAGTTTGAGAAACGACATTTGACTATACTTTTTAATGATTTATATAGCATGGGAATTTTTTTTTTCATTTTTCTTTTTTTTTAAATATATTTTTAATTGATTTTTTTACAGAGAGGAAGAGAGAGGGATAGAGAGTTAGAAACATCGATGAGAGAGAATCATCGATCAGCTGCCTCTTGCACACCCCCCACTGGGGACGTGCCCACAACCAAGGTATTACATGCCCCTGACCGGAATCGAACCCGGGACCTTTCAGTCTGCAGGCCGATGCTCTATCCACTGAGCCAAACCGGTCTCAGCGGGAACTATTTCTTTAAAGTATGAACAAAACAAGAGTGATTTGAGAGCTCATTCTTTCATAAATTTTAAATAGCTTCCATGGTGCACATAATTTGTGCACTTGGGGGGGTGTCCCTCGGGCCGGCCTGCAACCTCTCACAGTCCAGGAGCCCTTGGGAGCAGACCTAAGCTGGCAGTTGGACATCATTAGCACTGCCGCAAAGGCAAGAAAAGGCTCCTGCCACTGACACTGTGCTTACGAGCCATGAGCCATGAGCCAGGCTTCTGGCTGAGCAGTGAACCCCATGTGGGAGCGCACTGACCAGCAGGGGGCAGCTCCTGCATTGAGTGTCTGCCCCTGGTGGTCAGTGTGCATCATAGTGACTGGTTATTTGCATATTAGCTCTTTATTATATGGGATTCTACGTGTTCCGAATCTATTTCTGTACTTTACGTTTTCCTATTAAGATGCTTATTTTACTGAGAGCATGGAGGGAGAATCCACACAAAGCCTGGCCTTAACTAAGAAGCCCTTAGTTGAGGATACAGAGACAAGAGTCCAGAGCGGGGAACAAGGCCACTCCATATGCATGGAAGAGCAGCAGAAGTGTGTGACACAGAGAAAAGAATTCTGGGCACCTGCAAGGGGTCCACCTGGAACAGCGGTCGGCAAACTCATTAGTCAACAGAGCCAAATATCAACAATACAATTCAAATTTCTTTTGAGAGCCAAATTTTTTAAACTTAAACTATATATGTAGGTACATTGTTATTAACTTAAGAGTACTCCTAAACTGGCCTATGCTAAAAACTCAAGGGGCCAAAGAGCCACATGTGGCTCGCGAGCCTCAGTTTGCTGACCACTGACCTGGAACATCCAGCTAAGTACTAATCAGTGCCTGTGTGTAAAGAAACTATCTGGGGCTGGGGAAGCACCATCTGAAAGGATGAGGAAGGAACAGTACCTGCCCTCACGCCAGGCCAGGAATAGTGCCTGTGGATTAGCCCTCGACTGAGTACTATTACTCCACTGTTGTTCTGACTTTTGTAGTTATTGTTCTGGTTAGCCACCATTTACACCCTAAGGAGCCAAGTCCTGGTTAGTTCATCTCTCCTGGGTACCATTTTGAGTTTATGAACATGGTTGTTTAGAAACATGTATAAAATCAGATGTTTCAAAAAAGCATATTCCTCCCCCAAAGTTCAAAAATCTAGCTTTGTTACTAATCCTTCCAAGAATAAATGAAGCATAGAGGAGTTAATCCAAATATATTAGTTATACGTAGCGTGTGCTCTCTACTGGAAATAGTGGAAATAAAGCAGTGTTATTACTGAGGCCATAAAACCCATTTGGTGAGAACTAATCTTCTTACTTTGCTATTTTTGTATCACCAAAATGTTCATAATATTTATGACTTCCTTATATCATAGAAATGGCGTTTCTTCAAAGCAATTTTTAAATTCACTGTTAAGATGTATTTTTGGAGTTCTGCTGTTAAAAACATTTCACTGGACATAAACGAGGAAACACATAATGGCTTTATCTAGACCCTACTTCACTTCAGCCTTTTATTTAGGTTCATTTCTGGTCTTCAATTACCCTTCTGTTCAGAAGCAAAAAGCTTGTTTCCCACTGCTAGTGTGAAGTATTCCGTACTCCACATGTGGATAGGTTTTCTTCTCCACTGGACTGAGAGATAAATACTCAAAGACAGAGACCACGGCCTGTGAACTGAGCCCCTTGGATGGACATCAGAGAGACTTGGGCTCTTACGCCACAGCATGCTTGGCAAAGGTGACTTTTTCTCAGGCAGTATAACCTAGTAAATAAAGGCAGCTTAATGGGATTAAAACAATATTCCATCGGATTTCTATTTCTGTAGCCTTTGGCAAATTACCTACTCTAAGGCCTCGCTTTCTTCACCTGTAATCCTATCCTATCCTATATAATAAAAGGGTAATATGCAAATCGACCGAAGAGTGGAATGGTCGGTCATCATGACACACGCTGACCACCAGGGGCCGACGCTCAACACAGGAGCTGCCTCTTGGGGCCAGTGCGCTCCCACAGGGGAGTGCCACTCAGCCAGAAGGCAGTCTCCGTGGCAGCACTAAGGATGCCTGGCTGCCGGCCCCACAGGGCTTCCGGACTAAGAGAGGGTATAAGTCAAGTTGAGGGGAACCCCCTTCCCCCCCCTGCCAAGTGCACCAATTTCATGCATGGGGCCTCTAATATGGGTATAAAAAAGGAATCTACTACTTCATAGGGTCATTGTGAAACTAAATGAGGAAAATTCAATGCCTGCCCACAGGAATCCCGTAAAAATATTAATTATTTGTTACTATCATAAGAACCTTGAAGAAAACTTAGCATATAGATGAAGGAAGTGTGATGAGTGAGTTACAAAATGATAGATACTCTGGGTTAGATTAGGGATTGAAAAATCTTAACAAACTCAAAATTATATAAACAAACACACCTATGCCTTCTTCTAAGCTATTTGCAGTTTCTAATTTTTACATTTAAAAAGTTAGGCCACCATTTAACAAGATGAAAAGAGTTCTGCGAATAGATGGTGATGATGGTAGGACAACAGTGTGAATGTACTTCATGCTACTGAACTGTACACTTAAAAATGGGTAATATGGTAAATCTTAAAATTGTATTAACCACAACTTTTTAAAGTTTTTAAAAACCTTACCTAAAAGTGGAATATATTTAGAAATGTAATAAGACTATATATTGTATGTGTATATATATATATATATATATATATATATATATATACACACACTAGATACTTATAATAATAAAAGCTTAATATGCTAATTGGATCAGATAATCTTCCAGAGGAAGCTGGGGCTGCGAGTGAAGCCCGGATCCCGGGTACCGGAGGGAAACCAGTGGCTGGCAGCCGGGGGAAGGAAGTGGCCAGAAGCCGGGTAGTAGCAAAAAAACTACTCTTGCACTAATCTTGTGCATCAGGCCTCTACTTTGTGTGTGTGTGTGTGTGTGTGTGTTGCTCGAAGCCTCGGTGGCTGCCTGGCCCTTGCAGCCCGGACTTTGTCCAGAAGGACGTCCAGAAGGTCGTTCAGCTGTCCAGTCTAATTAGCATATTATGCTCTTATTATTATAGATATCCACATATAGGGTTTTTTTGTTTTGTTTTGTTTTTTATCAAAGTACTTAGCCAATTGAATCAACATTATTTATTAAATTAACCATCTTTTTCTACCAATTTGAATACTTGTACACACCTGGGTATATTTATAGTCTTTCCAAATATACACAATCCTCAGTATTTGATTATATGAAGATTTCCACTTGCCTCTATTTCGTTTTCATCATATGCTGAAGGAATAGCACAAGCACCACCAGCCTTAAAACTCTGATCCTGGAGCTTATCCTTAAACTTTTAGTGCCATCTAGTGGACATTTTCATGAGTTAACCGCCTCTGTTCTGAGACAGGAGATACTTTCCTCCATCCAGCTTAACTCACCAGGGCAATTTTGAATGTAAAAAATGTAAGCCTTATCATGTATAGGATGGCCCTCTACCTCCAATCTTTCTCTGCAGTCTACATTTTAGATGCCAGATATAACAGTCAAGATTAGCTCAGATCACCACGCCTATCTTCAGAAGTTTCAATGGTTTCCAATGGAATATAGCCCAAGTAAACTTAACAGAGAGAGAAACAAAGTCAACAATTAGGACAATCCTAAAATTAACTACAAATATAAACACAAGACCTATCTGTATTAAAATGGGTAACACACATAACACTAAAAAGGAGCTTCCTGGACTCGGGGAAAACCTTGAAATTCACATCCTCTGGAAAACCTTCCTCTAATCAGACTTCATTTGCATGCCTCTCTCATAGCACTTATCTCTCCCTATTTTGCTCTCTAGTTTGAGTGACAATCTGTCATCCACACTAGGTTTTGAGTGCCTTGAGGATAAAGACAGCATCTCGTTAATTTCAGGTTCAAATATCCTGGACACTTTTCTTAAGAAGAGTGACTTTTTCGGTAAAGGTGACTCTGAAACTTTAAAGGGAGTAAAAACATTAATCTAGACCAGCGGTTCTCAATCTGTGGGTCGCGACCTCTTTGGGGGTCGAACGACCTTTCCACGGGGCTCGCATAAGACCATCGGAAAACACGGATATTTACATTAAGATTCATAACAGTAGCAACAACGAAAATAATTTTATGGTTGGGGATCACCACAACATGAGAAACCGTATTAAAGGGTCGCAGCATTAGGAGGGTTGAGAACCACTGTGAGAACCACTGATCTAGACAATCCATGCCTGTTTCCCGGTTTCTAAATTGTACCCATTTCAATTTTTATTAGTTTGATCCCAAATTGATTTTGTATTTCCTGCCTTTCTTATTTTACTGATTCACATTTTGTTGTTTCTCATTACTGCTCTCCTGATAATCAATCTCAGGGTATGCCTTCTTAAATTAATATGTTGATGATTCATCTGTGTTCCTTCACCCTTTCTATATAACTTAACCTTCCAGCAAAAAAAACTATCTTGATGTCAAAAAAGAATAGCAGTAAAACCACAGTCTCTATTTACTGAGCCTACTAGGTGCTTCATGCTTTAATATATTGTCTCCAACAGCAATCAGTTCTTACTCATCCTTCACATCTTAATTTAATCATCACTTTCTTAAAAATGCATTCTAAGATGTCCTAAACTACACTAAACTTTTTGATAGTATCTCATAGCACGATGCATCTCTTTCATGCTTGTAATAGCTAAAACTTCATATTTTCTTTTTCATTTTTTTAATTATCTGTGTACATATTTTAACATTGCTCCCCCTCTCATAAATACCCTCCCTCCCCCGAGTTTTGTGTCCATTGGTTGTACTTATATGTATATATATACAAGTCCTTTGGATGATCTACTATCTGCCCCAGATCTCCCTACCCTACCTGCTGTAATTTGACAGTCTGCTTGTTGCTTTACTGTCTCTATATCTATCTTTTGGTTCATCAGTTTATAATGTTCTTTATTATCCATAAATGAGTGAGATCATGTGGTGTTTCTCTTTCATTGATTGGCTTATTTCACTCAGCATGATGTTCTCCAATTCCATAAAACTTCATATTTTCAACCAAAAGCTAGCTTCCCTTTGGAAAACCGATCCCTTTTAGGATTAACAATGTCTACTTTTGTGCATCACAGTGTCTCCAATGCTTAACTAAGAGATAAGATTAACTTGTCCAAAACCAGTCCCCCAAGTGGAATTAATTCCAAAGTTCAGTGGAAACTGGCTAAGGCCCTGTTTTAAGGCCATCAGAGATGGAAGATGCTCAGACTTCACCTGGTGGAAAAATATTCATTAATGCTGTCAGTTGCTCCATGGACAGTGTGGATGTTCCTGGAACCATTTTGGACAGAAGGAATGTGAAGATGGGGTCTCAAGCATAAGCTGAGTAGGCAAGCTCAAGATAGTGAACATAAAGGTTTTGGTTATGAGATGTACATTTCTTAAATTATACTCAGTGAATAAATCCTCCAAAGCACCTGACTTGTTCCCCACCCCTCTTGCTCATAGTTATGAAAGCAATTATAAACAAGAGTTCTCAATTGACTAGATCTTTCCTATTTTCCTATAGAGATAGTTTTAATACATTAATATTCAGTAAAGAAATATTGGGGCTTTTATATATGTATATGAGAAACACCCTTTTATGCTATGATCTTTTGAACTCATCTAAGCTCTGGGTAAGTCTTTATTTCCAAATGTTTACACCTCAGTTAAAAAAATTAAGAATTTCATATCTACACAATGGAATACTATGCCGCTATAAAAAGGAAGGAACTCCTACCACTTGCAACAGCATGAATGAAGCTGGAGAGCATTATGCTAAGCGAAATAAGCCAGTCAGAGAAAGATAAATATCACATTACCTCATGCATTTGTGGATTATAAAAATGAACTACATAACTGATGAACAAGAACAGATCCAGAGACAGAGAAGCATTGATTAGAAGCTCAAACCTCAGAGGGTAGTGGTAAGGGGGAGAGATCAACCACAGGACTTGGATGCATGTATATAAGCCTAACCAATGGACACAGACACCAGGGGAGTTAGGGCATGAGTGTGTCTGTGCGTGTGTGGGGGGGGGGGGGGGGGGGGAGGGGAGGGGCCAATGGTGGAATGAGGACACACATGTAATACCTTAATCAATAAAGAAAAAAAAAATTAAGAGTTTTAATATTTAGATTACTCTACAGAAATAACTATTAATTGGAAAAAGTTTTTCTTACTATTATGATTCAAAAATAATGTCAAAGAGAAAAAGTACATTTTTCTAAGATTTGTTTTTCAGACTTGCAATTTCTACCCTTGAGGTTATGCTGAGCTAGCTATGAAAACTGTCTGGGATAGGAAGGTTCTCTTTACTGAGTCAAACAGAATACGTCATCACCCATATTGATAAAAGAATAAAGCTGGAAGCCAAAACCGGTTTGGCTCAGTGGCAGGGGTCGGCAACCTTTAAGACATAAAGAGCCACTTGGACCTGTTTTCGAAGGAAAAAAAAACCTGGCAGCCGCAAAACCATTGCGACATTTTAAACAAATATAACACTGCATATATTGTTTCTTACCTTAATACTATATACCGGATCGTGCAGAAAAAGGATTTTTTCACTTAACAAAAAGAGCCGCATGCGGCTCCGGAGCCGCAGGTTACCGACACCTGGGAGCATTGGTCTGCAGACTGAAAGGTCCCGGGTTCGATTCTGATCAAGGGCATGTACATTGGTTGCAGGCACATCCCCAGTAGGGGATGTGCAGGAGGCAGCTGATCGATGATTCTCTCGTGGATGTTTCTAACTCTCAATCCCTCTTTTCTTCTCTGTAAGAAATCAATAAAATATATATATAAAAAAAATAAAAATAAAAAGCTGGGAAAATCACTGTCAAGAAAAGATTTGCAACTGAGAGAATTTCTGAATAACATTTTTTGAGTAGCCATTATATGTTGTTGGTGGTTTAAGCTCTTTTTTTCATATTAAATTTTGTCTTATGAAGTATTTTAAAATTATAGAGTAACAGTAAGATACTTATACACCACAGAAATTTAAGGTGGTAATGTTGCCATTTTTGCTAAAAATTGTCCCTTTTTAAAAAATATATATTTTTTTATTGTTGAGTGTATTATAGATGTCCTCCATTTCCCCCCTTTGTGCCCCTCCACCTGGCTCTTACCCCACACTCCAGGCCTTTGTCACACTATTTTCTGTGTCCATGGGTGATACATTTATGCATACAATGCTAACCTCTTCCCACCTACCCCCTTCCCTCTGAGATATGAGTCTATTCCATGCTTCCAAGTCTCTGGACTTATTTTGTCCATCAGTTTAATTTGTTCATTAGATTCCACATATAAGTGAGATCATGTAATATTTATCTTTGTCTCACTGGTTTATTCTACTTAGCATAATCCATGCTGTCTCAAAAGATAAGGTATCCTTTCTTTTTTACAGCTCCATAGTATTCCACTGTATAAACATACTACAGCCTTTCTATCAATTCATCTGCCTTCAATAAATCAACAAGCACGTGCTGGTGAGGATGTGGAAAAAAGTACACTGCTGTTAGAAATGCAGACTGGTACAGCCACTGTGAAAATCAGTATGGAGATTTCTCAAAAAATTAAAATGGAACTGCCATTTGACCCGGTGATCCCACTTCTGGGAATATATAATATCCTAAGAATCCCAAAACACCAATCAGAAAGAATATATGCACCCCTATGTTCATAATAGCATTATTTACAAAGGCTAAGATCTGGAAAAAGCACCTTTTTAAGAAATAAAACAAACCTGGTGGAGGGGGGGGGAAATGAGGAACTTTTGTAATTATATGAACAATAAAGATTGTTAAAAATAAATAAATAAAACATTATAGAATTCAGTTAAAACTGACTATTCATCTCATCTTCCTTTCCTTCTCAATGTAATAGCCTGACTTTTTACGTATCACTCCAATCATGTTTTATTAATTATACCTGTATTTATGCAACTTGCCTTTTCCCCAAAAACAAATATTTTTTATACTTACCTGTGTTGATGCATGTGGGTGAAGCTGATCATTATTAGCTTCTACATTGGACTTCATTATAATAAACCTCAGTCGATCTTCTCCAGGCAGGCTGTTGTTCCTTTTTAAACATTCAAAGACTGCTATAAGACCCACTCTTGTGTATAGCACCTTGTATACATGTGAATCTCTCTCTAGATCCTCTCCTTGAAGTGAAATTTCTGGATCATAGGGTATGCACCCTCCAACATTACTAGGCATTGCCAAAATAGCTTTTCTTGCTTTTTTTCTTAAATCATTTCTAAGCATTCTTAGAAGTTATTTCAATGCAAATAAATTCTTTCAATCTATGGTTTTGTATTTCTCTTTAACAGTGTTTTATCATAAAAATACCTTAATAATGTGGAAAATTACGCCAACATTTTTCTTCTAAGTTTGTGCTTTTTGTGTCTTAAAAAGGAGTTCTCTACCCAAGTGTCACACATTTCTTCATTTTCTTCTATTTAAAAAATTTCCTCTTCACATTTACATCTTCAAACCATCTAGGATATATTTTTGTATATGCTGTAAGTTAGGAAATCTCATTTCATCTTTTTGCAAAGAAATAGGCATAAAAACATCCATCCTTTCTTTTAACACCATCTCTGCCATATATCATGTTTTTATATACAAGTGTGCCTGTTTCTAGGCTATTTTGGTTCACTGGTCAATCTTTGTTCATAACACATGCTTAAATTACCAAAACTGTAATAAGACAAAGGGTATGCGAACTCCAACATTACTAGGCATTCTAAAATTATTTTCCATTTTTTAAATTAAATTGATTTCTAAGCATTGTTTTGGAAGAATGAGTAGAGTGAGTCCTTTCTAATTGCTTGGGCTCTTCTTGCTCCTTATTTCACCATCAAAGGTTTAGGATTACCTAAATTTCCCACAAGTGTCATTTTTAAAAACCTGTTTCTTAATAATTTGTCGATAGTGAAATTAAGCTATTAATTTTTTTTCATTTTTGTGCTTGGTTGGCCAAATCTTTTTTTAGTATTCCATCGTTGATCAATATAAATAAATGGTGTTACCAGGAAAGAGGGGAGGGGAGCTGTGTGGAAAAAAATCATGATGTAATTTCATTTGAAGTTGTATTGATTTTCCAATTTAATTTGGTGAGGCTGAGATAAAAAGTGTTACTGACCATTTCGTGATATGACTCCATTTATTTAGTCTTCTGCTATGTCCTTTAATAAAGATTAATAATTTTTCCATAAAGGTCTTACCCAATTTTTACTAGGTTGATTCCTGGATTGTTTTTACTCTTTTTTAGCTATTTCTTACATTTGGTCTTCTGGGCCACTAACGCAGCTTTTCCTGAAATTCATCTACTTTATTATTTTGTATAATAAAATCGTGTTTTTAAGAGTTGTGTATGTCAATGTGCTGCATTCAGATCTCTTTAATTACTTTGCTGTTCAGGTGTAGGTCTGTTTCCTCCAGTATTACATTGAATATGATCCTAACATTTTAACCCAATCCTTTCTCGCAAGAGTCCCTTAACTATACAATTACTTCCTCTCAGATAAATAGGGAAATTCCACAGTTGTTGAGTGGAAAACGTGTTTCTTGCCCTGAGCTTATGGTAAAAAAGGAGACTGGGATATCCCTGCTGAGCCACTTGGGAGGAAGCCTCTCTAAACTTTTCTGTGTGGGGCCCTTCTCCACCTTAAGCTATGGTACATTCAACCCACCCCCTTGCCTTTATGGACAGGAAGACCCAAGTCTCTTACACCAGGTTGAGATCCTCAGATATAGAATTGCCACGCTCACTCGAGAATTCTGAGTTCCTGATGTTGCTCACATGTAATTCCTCCACCCTTAGGGCAATAAACCCAGTTCTTTCCACGGGAGCCAACGGCTGGCCCTAGAGCCAAAGGCAAGTAGCTTGGAGACAGGAATGGAAGCCATTAAGATCCCCAAATCCACCAATGGTATATTTTCTACCTGTTTCGTAATAACTTGGTGGTGGTGAAAACGCAATTAACTGAAGTTTTCTGGTTTTAGTTTTGCAGTTTTATGGTTGGTTGGCCAAATTTTTAACTTAGCATTCCATCCTTGCCCAACACATGAATGAATGGTATTTTGGGGGCAAGAGATTCTGTAGATGCCCAAAGAAAAGGCAAAAAGCAAAATATGGCCAGCATTATCCACTCGCTTTTTTTTTTTTTTTTTTTTTTGATTTATGAACAGAACTTGCTTTACATGAGCATCTAATTTAAGTGGTGTTTGTTGTTGCTGTTCATTTGCTTTTCAATACTAGGAAAACTGAGTTTGTTTCAAAGATCCCCCTGAAATCTTAAAAAAAAGTGGCATACACCAATCCCTCCCATTCTCCCACCCAAAAAAAATCTAGTTGATTTCAATCGACAGAATGATCCATTTTTCCATTTTAAGTGGGCAGACATTTGTAAAATAAAAAAATGGTATGCCTCATTTACCAGGAAAAAAAAAAAAAATGAGACGGGAGCAAGCAAGCCTTTGACTGAATTTCTACTTGAAAACATAAGAAGACCAGTACGCAGATTCAAGTCATGCTTTAAAACTGAGCTTGTTGCAAGAAACGTTTAACAATTCCAAAATGAAATTAAACGAGTTTTTTTTTTTTTTTTAACTTTTTCCTCTCAAAAGAACCAAAGTTATGGGCGAGGAAGTTAACAGAGAATTCTCAACAGGTGAACACAATTCTTCCTTGGACCAGTCCTTGGGTCGTCAGTTAACCAGAAAACAGCATCTTCCTTTTCCGTTGGTTTCTCTGAAGACGGGACTTAGGGTTTTGGGTCCCCAGTCTGTTCCAACATCGCTTAGTATCGGCTCCGGCCTCCCCCTCTCTCCGGGCGGCCTCCCAGGCGGCCTCCACCGCGGGGAGCCCGGCGGCCCCCGGACCGGCTGTAAGAATCGCGCGGCGGCGGGCACCCCCTCTCCAGGGACGCAGGAAGCCCGCGGTCGGCCCGGTCGACCCGGTCGCGGCCCCGGGAGTAGCGGTCGCTCCTGCCGCCGCCGCCGCCGCCGCCGTAGCTGTCGCGGCCGCTGTAGGCGTCGGGCGAGCAGCCTCGGTACTCGTCGTAGCGGCCTCGGCCGCCGTACGAGGGCGGGGGCCCCCGCGCCGGGTTGCCGCCGCGCGGGTCCCCGTAGCTCTCGAAGGGATCGCGGTAGGAGCCTCCTCCGCTCGGGTGGTCGGCGTAATCGCTGCGGCTGCGGCCCCCGTAGCCGTCTCGGTCGCCGCCGTAGCCTCTGGACGGGAAGTCGTCCCGGGCGCTGGAGTGGCCGTAGTCGCGGTAGGTGTAGTCGCGGGGCGAGGGCGCGAAGTCGCGGGAGTCGCGGGCGCTCGCGTAGTCTCGGCTCGAGTAGCTGTCCCGGGGCGAGTAGCCCTCCTCCCAGGGGCCCAGGTAGGGGTCCCGGCGCGGGGGCGGCTCCCGGCGCGGCGGCCCCGCGTAGCCATCTCGCCCGCGCGCGGCCGGGGCCCGCCCGCGCATCCCGCCGCCGCCGCCGCCGCCACCGCCACTGCCGCCGCCGCTGCGGGGCAGGCCCGACGGCGCGGCCCTCTTGGGGGGCGGCCCGGCCCTGCGCGGCGGCGGCGGCGGGCCGCGCTTCATGGGCATCGGCGCCCGCGAGGAGCGCAGGTCGAAATCCCCCGAGTAGCCGCCGCCGCCGTCGTCGGCCGACCCGCCCCGGGAAGGGGAGCGCCGCGGCCCGACGCCGCCCCCGCGGGCCCCGCGCAGGCCCCTCGGGCGCCCGCGGCTGCGGGACGGCGGCAGCGGGCCCCGGCGGCCGCTCTCGAACGCCGGCTTGGTGGCCTGGGCCACCTTGATGGCCTTACCATCCAGGGACTTGCCGTTCATGTCTCGGACGGCGGCCTTGGCGTCGGCGGGGCTTTCGAAGGTGACGAACGCGAAGCCTCTGGACTTGCTCGTCTCTCGGTCCTTCATCAGGAGCACCTCGATGACGCGGCCATACTTGCCGAACTCGGCCTCGAGGGTTTTCTCGTCGATTTCGGGGCTGAGCCCGCCGATGAAGAGCTTCCCGGGGCGATCCGCTTCCACCATGGCTGCGGGCGCGAAGAGGCCAGTGGCGGCGGGGACGGCGAGGAGCGGGCTGGCCGAGGGCGGCTCCTACCGGTCGCGGGTGGCGCGTCGCGGGAAGCCGCGAACTCGGTCGGCGGCCCCACAGCGCACGCCGGACCGACGTCCCTCCGGATTGGATTGTGGCGCCGGCGCAGGTGCCGCAGCCCCGTCAGGGGGGGCTCTGGCCGCGCTGATTGGCTGGCTGGTTGTCCAGGTCCCAGGTCCCGCCTTCGGTGAAGGGTTGCCGTTTGGTCATTTTCTCTCCCCGCGTCGCTCAACTTCACCTCATTCACCAGGCCCGGCCCTGGGTTAAGGTGTCGAAGGCCTTCCCTTAAAGTTCGGCGGTGACATTAAAACTATTCGGTTAAAATGTCTTCTCCATGACTCTTCATGAGAACAGTCATGCGTTACAATCAAAGTTATCGAAACCATTTTTTTTAAAACAGAAATAAGTTCATTGAAAAATGAAATAACAGCACAAGTTTAAGAATGTAGTTTATACGCAGAACGTATTTGGTTTTTTTTTTTTTTTTTTGAAAACGGAAGAGATGACTCGAGTGTGGGCAGTTGGTTGTTGGGATAGGAGAGGGCATCGTTCTTTGGGCGCACTGTTTTTTGGGTTATTTTTTGTTTTTCGTTTTCCACCTTCCAAGGGCTCCGATGTGTAGCATTGAAATTGCCCTTTCAAACGAAGGTATTATTGGTCAGAAAGTCACAGGAGGACAAAATAAAGGCCAAGCAGGAGAACACTTGGACACCCGTCAAAGGAGCAGTTGAGCAAGCCTAGCAAACGAAAGGTTTCACCTCCATCTTCAATGAGGAACTCCTCAGAAAAAAATTATTTGGGGTTTATTCGAATAAATTACACAATGCAAATTTATTCCTTACAATGTTTTTCAAAGTGAATAATAACTTGGTGGGTGTATCTCTGCTTGAGGCTTTAACATTTAAAAAAAAACACTTAAAAAAAAAACTATATTCAGTTTTACTTGGGGCAGTTTTTAAAATGTAGTATAAGTTTTTCAAAAGTTGCTTTGGTGAAAAGTTAATAGACTTGAGAAGTCTTTATGTGTACACATGTACGTGTTATTTAGTTTATTGCAACAGCTATACAATGATGAGACCGTAAAAATAGGCATTTTGTAATTTTTCTTCAACGGGGATGATTTTAAGGTTTCAATATTTATCATGCATGAATGGTAATTAAAGTGCATCACAGTTCATTTGATGAATTGCAGTAACAGATTTATTATTTCTAGGTTATTTGAGATGTTGATTTTTTAAATATACTTTTTGTTTGCTCATACTTACAAATTTTTTCATTGGCCTATGTAGGATTTTCTCCATCATATTGAACTGGGAGATTTTTGCCTAAATTTATTTTAGCTTTGACTATTCCAATTTTTAAAATTTTCTCCTTGGATTTTATTTTTGTAGGATATACTTTTCTAGAATTATCTGTTTTTAATTTGAAATTTTAAGGACAGCTATTTTGCTTTATTTTTTATGATCTTGTCAGAAATTTATTTTTTGAAAGAACCATCTTTATTATTTGCTGATTCTCTGTTTTGATTTTATTTGCTGCTATTGCCTTCCTTCTTTCTACTTCCTTTGGATTAACAATTTATTTTGTTCTAAATTTTTAGGCAAGGCACAGTGCACTGAGTTAAGGTTTTTGTTCTAATTTTTGTATCTAAGTTCAAATTTTATTCTATTTGGACTAGTTAGCAGCATGGCCTGAGGTGGCATACATAGTGGGTTTTTATTTTCTTCAGTTTTAACTTTAATAGACAAGGCTTTATTTTGAATTGGTTCTATTTTAATTCATTTTAATTCCCAGTTTAGCTATCCACAAATCCAGAAATTAATATGTAGCTTTGAAGATAAGCAACTTAGTGTGTTCTGTTCTAATTTTTTAAAAGTAATATCTCAGTTTAAATTCCTAGTTGTAACAAGACTTTTCTTCAGTCCACGTAGTTTCAGGTGTACAACATAGTAGTTAGACTTTTATGTAATTTATGTTATGAAGTGATCCTCCTGATATGTCTAGTACCCACCTGGCACCATACATAGTTATAAAAATATTATAAGCTAGGTTCCCGATGCTGTACTTTACATCCCCCTATTTTGTAACTGCCAATTTGTACTTCTAAATCCCTTCTCCTTTTTCACCCACTTGCAACCCTCCATCCCTCTAGCAGTCTGTCCGCTGTATTTTTAAGTCTATTTCTGCTTTGTCTATATTATTCTTTAGAGTCCACATATAAGTGAATTCATATGGTATTTGTCTTTCCCTAGTTTATTTCACTTGGTATAATACCCTGTAGCCCTATCTATGCTGTTGCAAATGTAAGATTTCATTCTTTTTTATGGCCAAGTAATATTCCATTGTGTATATGTACACAGCTTTTTTATTTAATCATCTATTGATGGACACTTGGGTTGCTTCCATGTTTTGGCTATTATTAATAACACTGCAACGAACATCGAGGTGCATATATCTTTTTAAATTAGTGTTTTGGATTTCTTTGGGTAAATACTCAGAAGTGAAATTGTGGGTCATAAGGCAGTACTATCCTCTCCAAGGCACTAAACATGTGACTAAAGTCATCTTGGGACAACCTGGCTGTCAGATGAATACCACCAACAGACTCAAGGGATGTTCCTGCGGAGCATGAGAGATGCTTAGCTGAGACCTTTCTGAATTCTAATCCACCGAGTCATGACATATAATGAAGTGGTTACTATTTGAAGCCTTTACGTTTTGGGGTTATTACACATAGCAATAAATTGCCCAAACATTCTTTTACAGAAAATTTTACTATGCTTTCTTTCTAGCAAACAGAGGAACCTGCTTTTTCGCTCTAACCCCAATATATCTCTGTCTCCTTTTACCTTCACAACAGGCTACCATGTTCACAGCAGCAGTGGACTCCCATTTCTATTGACTCTAGTAGCTTCTCAAATATTAACATCCCAAAGATTTTCTTGGAAAATATTTCAAAGGCCAATTCCTAGAACCCTCGTCCAGATACTCTGATTCAGTAAACATAGTATGAAACTCAGGAATCTAAATTTTAAGAAACACCCAAGTGATTGTGACACGAGTGGTCCCAAGAACATACACAGGAAAACATTCAATAAGTCACACCAGTAACAGCGAGGCTTTGAACTGAGCCACTGCAGTGGGCATGGAGAGAAAGGAAACCAAGGTGCTCTTTCCTGGCACCACCCTTCAAACTCATCTCCAGGCTTCTCACATCTGGATTCTTAAGCTCTGCATCCAATTAAAAACATCATGGTGCCTGGCCAGTGTGGCTCAATGGTTGAGCATCACCGTATGAACAAGGATGTCGTGGTTCGATTCCCAAGTCAGGGCACATGCCTGGCTTGCAGGCTTCATCTCCCAGAGACAGCCAATCAATGATTCTTTCTCATCATTGATGTTTCTCTCCCTCTCCCTTCCTCTCTAAAAATCAATAAAAACGTATTTCTTAAAAAAAAAAAAAAATCAGAATACACTTTTCCAGAGCATTATGTTTTTCTTTTTATTTTAGCCTCTCAAACTCCTATGTGAAGTAGAACAACATTTGACAGAGAAGTGATTAACTATATCTAACAAACATCAAATGCAGTATGTCTGGGCACAGAAAATCCAAAGCTCAGAGCCCAAGGCCTTGTCGCTCAGAGGCCTTTCTTTTACTTTTTCAAAGAATGTCAAGTTCTTCGCATCAGAAACACTTCCACCAGGAACCATCTTCTCCATTATGATCACTACAATCCTGCTTAATGACTAGGTGTGGGTTGCTAACTCGCACAGCTTCCAGCAGCTTCTGGGCTTCCTCATCAAATGCCTCTGTGCACAACCTGAGAAAACAAGGGAACATCTCTTCTTGCACTTGATTTTCCCACAACCCTTTACTTTCTCATGAAATTTTATTCACTGGTGTGGGGGACTATTAAAGTAGAGAGAGAATATTAGCATGGCTGGGGAATAGAAAAGGGAACTGAGGGGATATGCTGAAGGGGATATTGCAGCTGAAGGAAAATGTAATATAAGAGAAATAGATGAAAATGTAAAAGGATCCTTCAAGAGCCCCCCTCCCCCCCTTTTTTTTTTTCTTGTCCAGCAAAATAATAATATTAATGATGATGATGAAAACAACTAGCACATACATTGTTTATTACATGTTAGGTACTATTTAGACCACCTATAATGACTCAGGTGAATAAGCCTATATGTAGATATTATCATTTTACAGATAAGGTAACTGAAACAGAGTTTGGGGTCTAACACAAGTTCAAATATCTATTAAGTGGCAATTAACTCAGGTAGGCTGGCTCTAGAATTCATGGCTCTTCATTACTATGCTACATTATCTCTCAAAATTCAGTGTTCTATGGGAGAAAAACAAATAAGGGCCTCGAAAATGCCCACGGATCCACAATCAGGTTGATCTCGAGGCCTGCAATAATGAGTGGCTCCCCCAGTCCCTCATTCCAGAAAACTTTCTTCCTAAGAAGCCAATGAAGACTTACCCTAGAACTTGTAGTTTACATTCAGGAGACCTCAAGGCTTCACATAACTTCTTAATTCCTTCATAACCTAAGGTATTCTGCACCAGGTTCATTTTTATCAGTCTTTGGTTGCTGCTAAGAGTAGAGGAGAGATCCTGACAACAGAGAGAGGTCAAACCACAGTATTCCAACCTGCAGGGAAGAGAGATTACAGATAAAATTAACTTTATCCCATATAAGTCAGCAAGCACAAGGAATGTATGATAACTCTCAAAAGCATAAAAATTTGAGTATGATTAGGGCAGTGGTTCTCAAACCTTCCTAATGCCTCGACCCTTTAATACAGTTCTTCATGTTGTGGTGACCCCTAACCATAAAATTATTTTCGTTGCTACTGCATAAGTGTAATTTTGCTACTGTTATGAATCATAACATAAATATCTGTGTTTTCCTATGGTCTTAGGTAACCCCTAAGAAAG